TTATTCCGCAGGGAAATCTTATAAATAAATTCCACTTTCGAAACTAGAAATCGTTCACATTTTTTGCGCCATTTCCTCGTTCGTATTTGGAAAGTGCTATTGACAACACTTTCAGCAGTTGAATTTCAATTGAACTAAAAAACTGCATTATACCTAAGTGCATCAATATTTTAAGGTTTTCCTGAAAAAAAAACAGAAAAAAATTCAGCAAGACCTATATAAGAGTCATAACTACGTTCATACTCTTAAAAATCCCTTTCTGTAACACGAAAACAACGGATTTTGGATCTTTTTTTTTTGGTTTGTTCAATGAAATGAAGAAATGCATCAAAAACATTTGGTTTCAACGGATATTAAAGCGATAAATACAATCAGCTTCGTTCTCGAGTACCTCTTTTGGATTGATGCTCCTGAATGCTTCGTATGATGGCTAGGGCACGATTTTCGGACAAATGAACCGGGTTTGAATCATGGCAGGACCATTATTTTCTCATTCATCCTATTTCAATAACTGGCTTGAAATGTACCATGAAAAAATTAGTAACGGAACTGTTTAAGGACATAAAAGCCATAATAACGAGACGACCGACAATTGATTTAACAATTGAACACTTATGATATAAGATTAGGTAGGAAGTTATCAACAGTCTGTATTTACAAACAAGGATAGCCAGTTGATGTGCAAGTAGCACAGCATGTTCCGACCACATTCATAAAAATACTTCTTTTCTTCTATTTAGTGTCGTTTGTAGTGTGATTCGCGAACTACACGATCGTGTAATAAGTGAGTGAATTGGGTATGATCGTCAACATTTAAAACATTCATAAAAACAAAAAAACGCAGAAAAAAACTTTTTTCTAAATTATTGCTAATTATTGCACACAAAAAATTTTTAGGAAAGCTTTTATGCCAAATAAGCGCTATGTGAAACATCCAAAGCTAGTTCTTTTTAAAGTAAAAACAAGTTTTTTATCCTGTAAGTCTTAAAAAAATTTCATACAACGAGCATTATTCGATCGCATTGCTCGCTTGAAAAATCAACTAAATTTCACAAATTTCAAACCAGATTTCTCCACACCGAGACAGTTTTTTAAAACAATTTTGTAAAAACGTTCGACTTACAACTGAAACGACTTAATATAATATGATGTATCAATCGACACATTTCAATGATTATTTGTGGTAACTGATTTGCGTGTAGAAGAAAAAACTAAAACACACACGAACACAAAGCTCCTCCCCAGTGTGAAATTTAGAAAAAATGGCTTCGACTTTTGAGAATCAGCGGGCGTACAGCTGAACTTTTGAATTTTACATTCTTTTATCGTATTAATCAAACTGCATGTTTATAACTGATAAAACAGTTTGACAAACAGTTTGATAAAACAGTTTAAAACAGATTTTCGGACAAATGAACCGGGTTTGAATCATGGCACGACCATTATTTTCTCATTCATCCTATTTCAATAACTGGCTGAAATTTACCATGAAAAAATTAGGAACGGAACTGTTTCAGGACATAAAAGCCATAATAACGAGACGACCGACAATTGATTTAACAATTGAACACTAATGATATAAGATTAGGTAGGAAGTTACCAACAGTCTGTATTTACAAACAAGGATAGCCAGTTGATGTGCAAGTAGCACAGCATGTTCCGACCACATTCATAAAAAAATTTCTTTTCTTCTTTATTTAGTGTCGTTTGTAGTGTGATTCGAGAACTACACGGTCGTGTAATAAGTCAGTGAATTGGGTATGATCGCCAACATTTAAAACATTCATAAAAACAAAAAAACGCAGAAAAAAACGTTTTTCTAAATTATTGCTAATTATTGCACACAAAAAAATTTTAGGAAAGCTTTTATGCCAAATAAGCGCTATGTGAAACATCCAAAGCTAGTTCTTTTTAAAGTAAAAACAAGTTTTTTATCCTGTAAGTCTAAAAAAAAATTTCATACAACGAGCATTATTCGATCGCATTACTCGCTTGAAAAATCAACTAAATTTCACAAATTTCAAACCAGATTTCTCCACACCGAGAGTTTTTTAAAACAATTTTGTAAAAACGTTCGACTTACAACTGAAACGACTTAATATAATATAATGTATCAATCGACACATTTCAATGATTAATTGTGGTAACTGATTTGCGTGTAGAAGAAAAAACTAAAACACACACGAACACAAAGCTCCTCCCCAGTGTGAAATTTAGAAAAAATGGCTTCGACTTTTGAGAATCAGCGGGCGTACAGCTGAACTTTTGAATTTGACATTCTATAATCATATTAATCAAACTGCATGTTTATAACTGATAAAACAGTTTGACAGAAAACTAAACCACCAACATCAAGACCAGTTGGTTCTGTTCGCAAAAAATTGAATTAATATTAGAATGTTTAGACATCAAAACATCAACGGGAATCAGCACTTAAAATTTGGGACAAGGAAAAAAGAAAAGTTCAATCCTAACAAGCATCCGAAAACCTAATACAGTGCCAATTTAAATTAACCGGACAAAACGCGTTAAACTTGAAATTTAAAACGCATTTTTCTCAAATTGGGTTGAGTTTAGGTGATAACTTATGAAGGCAAAACTTGCTTAGAATTTTAGCAGAATTAATATGGTGTAATTTGTTTTGCGCAATTCGGGTCCAAAATTTTACCCCAAAAATGGGTCATTTTGGCTTTTCTTAGTTCATCAAAAATTACGCCAAAAATACCCAGTCGATCACAGACATAAATAGATAAAAATTAGCCTCTTACGTAGCCCAAAAAATTTTAAGAAGGGTATATTCTCCAAAACATTGTATAAGTTAATTTATTTTGTTTGATAGACAAAAAAGGTCGTTTTTACTATAGAAAATACCAACTATTTGTTTAAAAACAATTTTTAAACAATTTGCAAATTTTTTGGAGAATATGCCCTTCTGAAAGTTTGTTGGGCTACGTAAGGAGCTCACTTTGATATAATTATGTCTGCGATCGACTGGGTATTTGTTGGCGTAATTTTTGATTAACTAAGAAAAGCCAAAATGACCCATTTTTTGGGTAAAATTTTGGGCCCGAATTTTGCAAAACAAATTACACCATATTAATTCTGCTAAAATTTTAAGCAAGTTTTGTCTTCATAAGTCTTCACCTAAGCTCAACCCAATTTGAGAAAAACGCGTTTTAAATTTCAAGTTTTGTTCGTTTTGTCCGGTTAATTCAAATCAACACTGTAGCATCCCCTACATCAATTAATTTGAAATAGGAAAATAATTCCCACGTATAATAACTTTATAGGTTGAAGACAAATTTCATAAAGCCATCATTTTGCAATAAAGACAGATTTTTCACATTATGATAAAAAACGTTAAGTTTTGATTCAAAGAAAGTCTCAATGTTTTTAGGAATTATTTTCTCCAATCTTAGTAAATTGAAGAGTTTACAGGCACGATATCGAATAGAAAAGCCCTCAAACTTTTTCTTACATAGTTTTTCCAGTAGCAATTTGAATTTTGATTTCCTGGTTTATTTTTAGTTTGTATAAAAAACAAATAGTGTTCAGGAAATCAGTTGATTGTAAGCTTTTGATTGAACGCAGTACAGTCTTAGGCAATTCGTAAACATGCAACTCAAAAACATTGTCAATAGTTTTTGAGAAAAATGTCATAGCAGCTCCCACTTTGATTTAAATATTTTCTTTTGCAGAAGAAACAAACACTCGAGTGGGCTTTGGCAACAACAGCCATAAATCAGAACGCAATTTTGAATTATTGGAACAACATTGCCTGTAGTATTCTATCAATTGAGATCTTGGGACATAGTGCCTAGTTTTGATATAGTTTCGCACTGTTTACCAATATGAGTATAAGATAATTTATAACCGATGGATACCTAGATATTTACACACTGGTTGTATTTTAATTTGAGAAAAATTAAGATTAAACCGGAACCACAATTTTTATTCATTTGAAATGTTTTTATCAGTATGTATGACTAACCTAATGCCGTGATGCCATCTGTCAAGGTTAACTATATCTTCTCTAATATTTGTATTCTGGCAAGCATTGGCCGTTAAGCTAATGTCATCAGTTAAGGGAAGGTCAATTTTGTAAATAATAAAAAGCATAAAATTACCAACGCAATAAATTTACCAACACTAAAATCCGAAGAGTCAATAGTGTCATCAATTTACTCAAGACTTACCGAAAAAAAAGTGAACTGTAAATACAACACAAGCCTTTGCTTCTGTAACAGATGGTCAAATCCTGCAAGTCTAACCCCAATCAGCTGGGACGGTTTTTTATCCGATCATCTAATCAATTTTTGCACCCAAAATCAGTCAGCAGACCAATTAATTGCCACTTATCCAATAATTTCTAAACATAATTGGCGTTTTTGCAAAGTTTTCAAAAGTTTCAGGACATAATCGGCGTTTCTTTTGAACCAAATCATGAAAAATAGCTTTTTACAATAATGCAAGCAAACATTTTCCAACAGATGTAGTTTTTTTTTTGCCTTATCTTTCAAAGATCTAGTTAATTCTTTATAAGCAAATATTTACGGTTGCGATTAACAAGCGCTATCAAATTGGAACAGACTTTTTGTGTAAAAATATTTTCTAACAGATTCTCTAAATAATTTGATAGCTTGGTTGACAATCAATTTAAATCCATTTCTGATTAGCAAGTTTAGCCCGAAAGTTACGCCCAGACCTAGAACTCCGAAGAACCATGGTTCGAATCCCGCCAGGAGCTGTTTAAGTTTTAATCAACGGGGTGATGCTGCAGACAGATGTAAAGCTATTTCAATGCTACTAGTCAGCAGAACAAATTACATTAGCCACTCCCTCCTACCTCCTCCATAAAGCATTTTGGAGGGAGGATATCAACCTCGTTTCAATTGAAAATCTCAGCCGATCAGAATCGCAGTTGTGCACCAGTTTAAGAACGGCATGCATTTTCTTAAAGTTGTTTTGACCCTAACCAAGGATCCTAACTTGATGCTAACCAACTAGAGCGTTCCTCCTTCCTCCTCGCATGAACCTCCTCTCGAGAAGCATCTTGTAGAAGCCATGGGCCAAGTCGGCACAGTGTCCGTGGATGGAGAGAGAGGATGCGAACTGGTAGATCAACTTCCTCCCCTTCTCAATCGAGTTCTCCATGCAGTCCTGCTGGATACCCGGGTGGAAACCAGCGAATGAAGACTTCATACCTCGCTGGTTCACACCTGGAACAAGTTTCAGTTCAATAACATATATCCAAAAAAGAGCCATTAACATCTGGAATCGGTTTGAATTAAAACGGAATCCGAAAAAGATCAAAATCATAAGCTGTTGGGCTCGAAAGCGCAGGATCTTTTCTGATGTTGGCAGAGAAAACTTTCATGTTTTAGGTAGTAAATCATTTAACTAGCTTCAATCGATTAAGCCGTCGAAATAGTCACGGAAACGTTCAGCCCAAATTTTTCATTCTGCCCAGGTCAATTCTTCAAATAAACCATTTTAATTAATCTGAAACAATGACCCGAATTCTCAACTTTTGTACCAATTTTTTTAATGAGAAACCGCCATAAAATATGAACCAAGTAGTGAAAAAAATTCGCCTGAAAACGGGCTGCAAACTTTCAAGGCGTCCTCGCAGTTTTATTTTACTTCTGTTGTAACGGGTCATAATTTTACAAAAGTAGATGGAGGCTCATTTGAAACAATTTTTATGATTTTTTTCAAAGGTTACAAATGCAACTTTGATGCAACGTGTTGTTTCTGTTTCTCACCTACGAACTGTCCCACTGCCCTCTTTGCATCTCCACTGCCACTCTCGATGAACTCGACGTCATTCACAATCATGTTGTGTTCCAGCACCTGTCCACACCCTGTGCACACTGCATTTCCACGACACCTGACACACAACACTAAAGCTTAACACTACTCTAGTGTACACTTTTACATAGGCTAAGTGGAGCAATAAAGCGGAGTCAAAACAAATTAAGACGAAAAAAAATTATCCAAAAGAAAAATGGCGAAAACACTCGTCTATTTCATTTTATTTGGCCGACTAAATTTTGCTAACATAATTTGTTATTTCGACAAACAAATTTATAAAATTTTTTTTTCAGATTGCGTCGTTTTTTGAATTTGGTGTAATGGAAATTTAAACGACCCTAAAAACTCAATAGTATAAAAATTAGGGACATTTGACAACATTTTTTCACATAAAAAATAAAATTCAATTTTCGAAAATCAAAAAAAAAAATCATGTTAAGCTCGCTTTACTCGCTTGAAATTAGACGAAAAACAAAAAAAAATCAAACCGGTTTGTTCTACACTGGGATAAAATTTTCAAAAGGGAATTTTACGACTGACAGGACTTTAATATGATATATATCTCGACCCATTCCGATGATTATTTATGGTACCTGATTTTGCCTGGAACAATTACGAGCAAATTATAAAAAAAATATTTAAATTGTGATCTAATAGCACTTAACGCCTCCCTAATGTGAGTTTCTTGTTTTGCGAAGTTGACCTTCTAAAAAAAGATATAGGCTAGAAAGCATTCAAAGCAAAATAAAAATCAATTGACGAAAAACCTGATTGAAAATCATTCCAAGTAAAATGTCAATACACTCATGGCTTCAATCACCTTTGTCAAAACGAACACAATAAGAAGAGCATACCGTTTAAGACATATCGAGGAAAAATTTCGAATTAAGCTTTATTACGAAGGGAAAAAAATTCAAAAAAAGTTTCATAATTTTTTAACTTTATAAGAATTGATTTAAAAATTTCAAAGGTACCTTGTCAAAGTTGAATCAATATCAAAAACCGCCCAAATCAAATGAAAAAGTAATAGATAAATAAGCCGACAGAATTAAGGCCGATACTTAATAAGCTCAAAAACAGCCAAAATTTCCAGAAAAAGCTTGCATCAACCACCTAAAAGGCAACCTATCTGCATCTACCACCTATCTTGCATCTACCACCTATCTTGCATCTCCCACCAAGCTGGCATTTACCATCTATCTTGCATCTCTTGCCTGCTGTGAACAGATTTATTTGCGGCAACAAAATTCTAGAACCCGGTTGCAAAACTCTTGCTTATCGCAATGGTAATAAGACTGAAAAACTAACAAAAAGCTTCTAAGTCCCCGTCCACCTCAAAATACAAACATACATGGCGCAATTTGAGTCCAGAAAGCCGATATAAAATACGCCAAAAAATTTTTTAATGAAAAAAAGGAAACGCGAAAAAATGAAAAGAAAACGAGTTGGTATAATTAGAACAAAAAAAATCAAATTTCGAATAGGGCGGATATTTAAATTGCTAACATGTTAAATATAGTTTTGTTGCTTTATTTCTAACAGAGAGGACCAGGAGATGAATGAATCTAAAAGATGAGTCCCGTGAACAAACTTCTTTAAGGGAAGAAAAAAGTCTAGTAACAGATTGCAATACCCTTGCGATAAGCATAATTGAATTATTTTTACACGAGGCAAAGCTCTAACAGAGGAGCTCTTTTTCACATTACGACAAACAGCTGTTGTGTCCTTAAGTAAGACTTTGTGGACAATTTTCTGTGCTGTCCCAAGCAACTATATATCTTTTTCATCAACGAATCGAAAAAATAGAGGTGCTCACTTAGACGCCGGGAATCAGCACATTTCATATTAGTTACTTGAATCAACAATTAATTTCTCTAACTAGGTAAAAATTCTCAGGGCCACCAATATTGCCACCTACTAGCGATTATTAAAAATAGCCAACAGACAATTGGAAAAATGTAAATGAGCGCAACGAAACAGAAACAATTTATGATTGACACTTTCTGAAAACAATTATTTCAAAATCAGAAAACTGTATCAACAGCTTAAGTTTTTATTCCGCTGGGAAATCTGAAACTTAGAATTCACTTTCAAAAGTAGAAGTCGATCGCGTTCTTCCTGGTCTTTCGGTGTTCGATAGTGGGGTTGCCCACCTTTTAACAAAAAAAGTCAAATAAAAAGAAATCAAAAGTCAAATTGCTGAAAAAACATAACATCACGAAGACCTATATAAGAGTTTTCACTACGTTCGTGACTCTTAAACACGAACAGCAATTGTTTGTTGATTCAATTTTTTTTACTGAAACCTTAATCTGGTTGGTATATTGGCTACCACATCTGACTCATGACCCAGAGACACGGTTTCGAAGCCCAGTGGCAAGGAAAGTTGACCAGTGTCTCAGTGGTTCTGAGATAGTTATGCTTCCTATGGTAATATATCAACTAACATTTGTTTATGGGAAAAAAGGTTTTTTACGTCTTTTCACTTTTTCCGACCAAAGTTTTTAATTTAGTGATTTCAAAATATTCAATGTATAAATACAGAGACATACTGATCGCAATGATTGGTTTGGTAAATGCAAATACGAACACTTAATTCTTTAGAGGATTTCTAACAAGACCGAATTTGGAGCAGATGTGAAGGTCATTTTTTCCTGGAGCTTTTTTTTCGAGTTTATTATTCTGGTCTGGGTAAAACTCTGGCACTTATTTGAAATAATTTGAAAAATTTACCAAAAAATCTATTGAAATTCGTCTTCAACTGAAAAAAAAATTAGAGATGGTGCTGAAATTTGATTGGCTATTTGTATAGTTTCAATTCAGGATGTTGAAATATTGATTTTAAAAAGACCCGAAAAAAGTCTAGTTTCCGATTACAAGTCACTTGATCTGAAGTGAAATGAAGGGTGTTAAAAGCCAATCCCGACGAACACTATATCATTGTACAATTATGTAGGTTTTACTGGGTTTACTCAAAAATTAGACCGATTATTCTGTGTGCCAGTTCTATAACAGTTGGACAGTGGGCTAAACTTCTTCAAAAAATCTCCAAACCAGATAAACAATTCAAAACAAAACACTTTGCTTGAAAATATTCGATCAGCGTATCACACCTGTCGACGTCAATCTCTGTCGAGCCACAGCTAGGACAGACATTTGACGAAACAGGCGCCGAACCCTGAGCTCCTGTGGACGAGGAACCCAGTCCAGATCCAATCGTACCAGACTGGGTCGCGTCCAGAAAACCCCCCGACATTCTGACTGTTCGCTACTCCGCTAGCAATCGTAAATTAAACAGATGAGGTAATAATCGTAATTTAAAGATAACTTGTTCAGTGGTTGTGAGCGAAAGCTCCGTTTGCTGTTTGAATCTCATTCTGCGTTGAAAACCATCATTTCAATAACATCTGAAACAGACTCAAATTTACAGCTTTTCAAGCAAAAACTGGAAGCGGATATTCCAATTCGAATTAAAATAACGTCCAAACTTACTCAAAAGAAATTGTAAACTTCAGAATTGTAAACTTCAAGATTTAGCTCAAATTCGAACAGCTCAGCTTACATGTTTAACCCTCATATGTCCTCTTTTAATAGTAGGTAGCCTTAATGTCTTATTTACCTAGCACCAAAAATAACGCACTTTTGTGGCGTCCATCACGATGGAGGGACCGAATGCTGAAAATTTATTTTAGCCAATCAGAATTGAGTATTCAACAAAGAAAATCAAAAAAATAATAATTGAAAATTTTGTTGCACTGCTTTAATGCACTTTCTGTTAATAATGACTTGCTTTGTGCAGAAGTCATTTAAGCGGCACACATGCAACGAAAGCCTGTCCCTCACATAAACAAGCTTGAGTTTTTGTTTATTTAAATTTTACTAAATTGATGATTAAGTTCACTGTCTAGATCAGATCCGTTTGCTTGTCATTCACCAGCTTACCTTTGATCAATATACAAGTATATATGTCATATGTTTGGTCTGTAAGCTACAGGCTTATAACAATCAGCAAAACGTGGCAACACCTTAAATCTGATTGGCTGCAAATGCTAAAATTATGTTATCTTTTTACATTATGTTATCTTCACAGAGGCGACGCATAAAACCAAAACGATAAGAAATGAAACATTTTTTACAGCTTTCTTCAGGCTCAGAGGAAAACAATAAGACAAAACCAAAATTCATGAAAAATGGTGCGATAACGATTTTAAAAATTTTATTTGCCTGCTTATTACAGGAAGAAATCAAAATGACTTCCAAGTGTGTAATTGCTAGCCTTGAAGTATAAATGAATAATTTGTACGCTTTGAAAAGCCAAAAAAAACCATAGCCAGCTGAAAGTTGGAAAAGTGCATTGAACGCAAGGAAACTGAAAAAAACCACTTGTTTTTTTTTATATCTTCAGCTTTTGAATTTCAAAGAAAAAATATAGAAGGCCTTAAAGCGCTTTGAATTTGTAGAACAATTTATGATGGACACTTTTATGTTTAAATTAACCCATTTTGAGATAACTGGATCAATAGGTATAACTTTCATTTCGCTGGGCAATCTGATAATTAATTTCATTTTCGAAATAAGGAGTCAATCACCTTTTTGGTGACCTTTACACTTTTGCTGTTTAAAAAGAGTTTTCCTTCCTTTTAACAATAGAAATGCACTGAACTTGAAAATAAATCACAAGTCAAACCGCGAAAAATCAAAATTGAGCGTGAACAAATTTTAAGACTTTTTTCTGAAAAGCAAAAAAAAATCAGCAATACCTATACAAAAGTACTCACTACATTCATTACTCTTAAACATTCCGACCAAAACTGAGGTTTATTAGCGGTGCATTTGAGGTTTTGCTTCGCTGTTTTTCGAGTGACGCGCGCCTTTCAACACGAAGATCGTAGATTCAAACTCCACTTTGGTCATGGCGGAGGGCTCCTATTGTCATCCGCCTCTGCGAAATGGACGACACCGACTCCCCGAAGCAGAAACGCCCTGACATCGGTAAATAAAAAACTGGTCTCAATTCCACTTAGGCTTTAATAGGACAAACTTATCGCGCATTAATTATCCCATATTTGACCAAATTAGTGTCAAATTCAAACCCTCGTAACATAACACACGCGGCAGGTGACATCCCTTTTCAATTTTGAGCACAAACAAATTAATGAACTTGAAAACTGCTTATATATAAAATATATGAAAAAACAACGAAATGAATGCATGCAACCGTTACAACAGACGGGGCATCTACGAACGCTTTTTATTTCTAAGTTTCAACGACAAAAATAATTTCAATTTTAAGGTTCTTTTTAAACTAAAATGGTCAAATCTTCACAACAACTGGCTTCCTGATTTTCATATTTTTAACGCAGAAACTAAACACTTAAATAGCCGACAGCATACAACTGCACTTTCCATTTGCAAAATAACTAAGTTCATATCATTTGCTGCCATCAGTCAATTAATCCAGCTCAAATGATTTTTAAATATCATTTTAATTTTTCTTGGTTTAATTCTTAGTTAAATCAAAATTTTTGAAATATCATATAAAAAAGTCAATTTCTAAAACTTAAAAAATTTGGTAAAAAATATTAGGATGGAGGCCCTATTTACAACAGCTCGCAGTAACATGACACCATCCCATTGAACGGTTTACAATTTCAAATTTTGACACAGGCGAAGCTGTGCTTCGCAAACACTAGCAAGAACACGGCAAAAAAAGCAACTACAAAGTGAAATCAAGAAAAAAAATTGACACAAAAAATGGCAACTAAAAGCATCAAGCAGTCAAATTTGGAGGCAAGATTTGCAGCTCCTGAAACTACGCTGATAGTATTCAACTACAGGGTTGGGAAAATAAAAATTTTGCAAAAATCGTAAAAAAACGTCCTATCTAGCAAACTAAAGATTTGGGTATTCATATTTGGAGGCCAAATTCGCCACCCCGGGAAAACCCAGACAGTATCCCATCATTGAGTTGCTAAATTCAAACTTAGTGAATTAAGCACCGATTTCAAACTGGAAAATCGAAAAAATTAAGCATTGCAATATACAATATAGCTTCAACGTAAAAAGATGGTTCGTCGTTGAACATGCTAAAATAACACGTTGAAAAAGCTTAACCATGGTGAGATAAGGAACCCAGCATTTATATACATAATATATAGATAGATAGATACTTGACACAGAGGCGAAGTAGAGCTTCCCATCACTTGCGATTCAACACACGCGTAGCATTGCCAGCTAGCTAAAAAAGAGGAAACAAAACGAAAAAAAAACTGTTATAAAAATGAAGTTTTTTAGAATAACAAAAAAATCAATTTCAGAAAAAATCGAGGGTGTAAATACTAGCATTAAGTACGCTTTTACTATTGATCGAGCGACTACTAAGCCGATATTTAGTGGGTAGACGACCGCTGACATTAAACAGAAAAGCCATTGTCGTGATAAAAACTTTGAGTGGTTAAGTTTTAAAACTTGGAACCGTGCACTACTGACATCAATTAATTGAAAATAACTAATTTATGCTTTTCAAACGACACAAAATTGGTTGACTAAGCCGATACAACATATGCGGAAACAATGTGGGCCGAAGGAAATTTTCAACTGAAAAACTAAACGAAAAAAGGAAAATATAAAAAGCAACGGCTAGTTAATTTCAAATGACCGGACAAAATCAACTATTCTTGCAATTAGAAGTAAAAGTGCTTACACTCCAAGAAAATCCGCGATAATATCAAAAATAGTCCGTCAATTTTGTCAATATTGACTATTTGGTACGCAGAATAACAGCAATTTTACTGTAACTAGCGTTTAACGCGTCATCTCAAAAACTTAATGGGCCTCTGGAGAAATTCGGAGGCCTTATTTGCAACCACTGAGAGTCCATGAGAGCACCCTACTATAGGGTAAGGAATCCAAAATTTTGTGAACTTTTTTAAACCTAAGTTTCTCGAAGAAAAAATTGAAAAAAAAAACGTCTTATCTCGGAAACTAAAAAGATTTGAGCATTCATACTAAGAGGCAAGAATTGAGACGCCTGGGTGTACGCTGACAATAAGGTTGTATCTTCATCAAGCTGGTAGTTTCAAATTTTTTTAATTTCTTTGTAGATAAGTTCTCTGAAAAATTTTGAAAAAATCAAAAAACGTCACATCTCGGAATTTAAAAGCATTTGAGCAGTCCCGTTTATCATTCGCATGTGGCAAGCACGATTTACAACTCTTTAGAGTACCCTGACAACACCGAACTTCAGCGTTCGGATTTGAAATTTCGAATAAAATATTAATTTCAACTTTCTGAAAATTTTTAAAAATCACAAAAAAACGTCACATCTCGAAAACTACAAAGAATTGGGCGGTCATATTTGGAGGCAAGATTCGCAATCCTTGAGACAACTCTGACAGGACCTAACTACAGGGTTGGGAATTTCAGATTTTTAAAACAATATTAATTTAAGTTTTCTGAAAATTTTTGAAAAAAGTCACAAAAAACGTCATATCTCGAAAACTACAAGGATTTGAAAAGTAATATTTGGAGGCAAGATTCGCAATCTTTGAGATTACTCTGAGAGCCCCCAACAACAGGGTTGGGAATTTCAGATTTTGCGAAAAAAAATTTATATGTTTTCTGAAAATTTTCTGAAAAAATCAGAAAAAACGTCATATCTCGAAAACTACAAGGATTTGAACAGTCATATTTGGAGGCAAGATTTGTAACTCCTTAGAGTACTCTGACAGCGCCCAACTACATGTTCTGGAACTTCAAGTTTTTTAAATTTTTTTGTTATTTGAAATTTCAGATAATTTTTGAAAAAATCTCAAAAATCGTCTTATCTCGTTAGCTAAAATGAAAATGATTCGGGCATTCAAAATTGGAGGCCAAATTCGCCACCCCTAATTCAATATTGGGCTGCTTAATTAAAACTCGGTAAAATAACCACCAAAATCAAATTGGAAAATCGAAAAAAAATTCTTAACCATTGCAATATACGATACAGCTTAAACATGCAAAAATAATACGTTGAAAAAGCTTAAACATGGCGAGATAGTGAAGCCCGCATTTAAATATATAATAGATTGAGCATTTGAACCGAAACTCTTTGCATCAAGCTTGTATTGCAAGAAAAGTATAATTGAAATGTATCGTGACCAATAAACCGGATTGACTTTTCAAATTTTTATTTAAAGTTGAACACAGAGGCAAAGCGAACTTTCGCACCACTTGCGATGCAGAAACCTGAAAAACAAGAAAAAAATTAAAAATCAATACAATATTACAAAAATTGCGTGTCGCACAGACCACATTCAAAGTTAATTCTGAAAGCAGCATTTTAATTCTGTAACCAGACGACGTTTTAAACAAAACTGAAATGCATTATACTGCTATGAAACTGTTCGAAAAAAAACCCCAGACATTAGGGTACAAAGGCAAATGATTTACCTCCAGGCCAAGGGGAAACAATCTGGAATGTTAATAAAAGAGAATATAACTGAGCTTGCGATGCGAAAAAAAACACTTGCGATGCAAAACTCACCTTGCGCTACAATATAGTGAACGGAAAAAAGATAACTTGAAAATAGTTGAAAACTTTTGGCTAAAAAAACTTCATGCTAGTATCGGATGAAGCTCATAAACAGCCTTTTAAAAAAATGGAAACCATTTACCGATCGGCAACAAAGGCTACAAACTTTGGGTCGAAACTTCTTGAGCCGAAAACAAGACTGTTGTCATAAAAAACTTCATAATAAGTTTTAAAAGCTTTTACGCCCCATCAAACTGACGCACAGAATCGCATACGGTAAGGTTTTGCCCTCGAAATTACTCTGTCTAAAGTGAATGAGTCGATATGAAATGAACTGAAAATGTTTAAATAATGAAAAACAATTAAAAAAAATAAAAAGCTTAAAAGAAGACTTTTTACATTGGAATAAAACCCATGATTCAAAAAATATGCCAATACGGGATAAAAAAGCTTGGAAGAAAAACAACCAATCGAAAAAAAAGACATTTTCCAACACAGAGACGAAGCGGAGCTTCGCAGCACTTGCGATACAACACAAAAAAACAAAAAGCAGAAAATGAAAATCTAAAAAAAAAAACAGGTCGAATAAACTTTCATACGTCTTGATAGAAATTCATTCCAGGCAAGCAAGCCAGACACTTGAAATTTAAAACAGCAACAACGGAACAAGATTTAAGAAAAGAAACAAAGCCGACAATCTTTAAGCAGACAAAAGTTGAGCCGAACAAAATATGATTTTAGGAAAAAAAAAGTCCCACCTTAAACAACAATTGACAAAACTTACAATTGCAATTACAATGAAAGTTGCTTACAGCAAAAAAAAATCAGTGATGTAGCAACTAAGCCGACAATCTATTAGCAGACACCGACTAAACTGAAAAAAAAATTAAAATCTTTCAAGCCCCCCTGAAATTCAAACAAACAACACGCACTTGAAAACACAATGAAAATTGCCTACAGCACAAGCAAAAAACGTTGTGACAATTTAGCCGACAAAACTTGAGCGAACAAACGGAAAACCAACAATTCATTTTTCTCGGAACTTTTTTCAATTTCCTTGATTTGAAAAAAACAAGGTCCGGCCACGACTCGAACCCCAGACATTAGGGTACAAAGGCAAATGATTTACCTCCAGGCCAAGGGGAAACAATCTGGAATGTTAATAAAAGAGAATATAACTGAAAAGAAGTCAGCTGCATAGAAAAGAAGTCAGCTGCATAGAAAAGAAGTCAGCTGCCTTTTCCTCCTCCTCAGCAAGCGATTCAACTGATTTTGTTAAGCTTGTTGTTAACCAGAAAAAAGTCTATATTCCAGTTTGATAACGGTTGCTAATCGCAAGCGTACAAAGACAACTACAACTTGAAACAGGCTTCAACTAATTACTACTTATATGATAGTTTTATTTGAAATTCAAGAAAATGAGCTGTCAGATAATGAATGAGTCCAGAAGATGATTGAGTCCTGTGAACAAAGTTATTACGGTAAAACTTTTTAGTACCCGGTTGATATACCCTTGCTTGCTGCAAGGGTACTACTACTGATTCGTTTTTCTGTAGAAGGTATGTCTAAATTTTTCCTTCAAATTTTTGCGAAAAATGACTATTCTAATTTCTTTTAGTGAATTCCATTTTTCATGCAGCCTCTTACCACTGATTTTCTGCCTCCTTTATTATTTGATTGAGTGTGGGGTCCCACCTAAATGTTCTCTTGTTTCCATTCAGCTAAGTTTTCCGTAGACAAAACGCTCTGTTGGAAGTATTGTGCTTTATATTAGTAAATCACGTGCTCTATCAATTTTTCTACGTAAAAACAGATGAAAATCCAGTCTCAGAAATTTCAGGCTAAAAAAAAACATAATCAGAAAAAACTTAGACTCAGATTCAGATTCAGAAATTTAGACGCGATATGATTGTCAGTTTTTTAGACAAATTAATCACCTGGAGAACAGTCAGAAATCCGATCTAATAACAATTCCTATTCGCAAGCGTTAAAACGAAAAAGTTATCAGAATGAAAACCTTTTGGCTCTTTTTCCTCCCCCCCCCCACCTGCAAAACTTTACATGTGAACTAATAAAGCCAAGACAAACATATTAACCTTGTAAAATCCCTCGTTACACCATAAAGTTGATGCTTATGTGAGGAGTGAGTTAAAGTTATCGGAATGAGCAAATTCAACATTTTTGGAAGAAATTTTCGGTTCCGAGATAAACTATGCCTGGAATCTTCTTTATAAAACAGTTCATCTTAAAAACCAGCTTTCAGTGTTTGTTGTTTGCTCTAAAAAAAACTGCATCAATTCGGCTTAAATCAAGCTCAAAAAAACACCACTATAACGAAACTAAACACAAAATGAACAACTTCAAGAAAAAATGGGGAGCAGAAATTTTGATAACAGACAGACTAACCTCTTCATGTATTTGTGATTCTCAACCGAACTTATGCATATGTCAATAATAGAGGGCAAACAAAATTTCAAGTCTTTTTCAAAAAAAATCGTAAACCTTGAAATTCTAGAGATGAGAGGCTACGCTTCGCAAACACTAACGCGAACACGACAAAAAAGCAGCTCTACCAAGTAAAAAAAAAGAAAAAGTAGATATTAGCCTCGAATTAGCAAAAACTCAGCTACGTGTCGGATTCGATGAGCGACCTAGTGATTTTGAGTCTCGCGCACTAACCACGGACGCTTTAACCTAAAACTGGCTACCAATAGCGCAGCTACATATGCTTATAAATTGCCAATTCGACGCAGCAAAAGTGGCGTCAAATACAAAAAGACAAAATTTTGCATGTAATAAATTGGAAAGCATAAAGGCAAACTATGTTTAAATGTAATTTTTTTAAAATCTTTGTGCTGCTGTTCGAAACAAATAACTTTTGCGGTTCGTTTGATGAATTAAAAATGCGTCAACTGTCTTATTTTTTAACTAATCAAATGTTAAAGTCCCTACGCCATTATACTGCTAAAGCAACCTAACGATTCAAAGTGCCACCAAAAGCAGCACTTTTATTCGCGAATTAGATTGGAAAAAAGAAGGTTCGTACTAATACACTTCGCTTGCGCAAGAGTAACTAAGATTTTTCATTATAACTTTTGCTGTTAATTGTTCTATACTACTTAAAGGTGTTTGACAATTTCAAAGAAACACGGACAGAAAAATGGCAAAATCCGACACAGAATCACTTTCGATACGATTAAAACATTGCATTACAAAACATTGACTAGAAAAATAGACGGAAGTCGAGAAACTTTTTGAAAAATTAAGTTGAAAAAATTACTTGAAAGTTGAAAAAAGACATCTAATAACATTTTATACCTTTGCCTCGAATGATATTCTTAAACAACCTTAGAAAGCATTGATTATCATTCACCGAGCTTTAACTAAGGCGACAAAAAACCATCGTTAAGCCGGAAACAAAACTGTTGTCATGAAAAAAACTTGAGCTTTACAGTTTTGGAGTCTTCCGTTTCTTTCAAGTTACACCACATCCTCAGATCATATAGCGTTAACTTGTCACAAAGAAGCTAATTGAAAATTTCAATTAAACCAAATCAATGAAAATTAGCAGTCATAAAAAGCGGTGAGGCTCGCAGATGAATCTACCTCACTCAAGCAATCAACATCAATATAAGCATTTGTTGACTTAGAGGACGTCTCAAAATTTTGATCAGTTTCGCCGCTTGGGATTTCGACAGATGAGTCAAAATCTAATGAAATATCGAAATTGTTTATCAAGTTATCAGCCGAACTCTTTTTTCCTCGTTTATTTGATGCGAACTTTAGATCAAAGCTAGGTGCTTCATTGTGCTCTTCGACCATTGAAAAATCATCGTGCAATTTCATCAAGTGAATCACAAGTTCTTTCTTCGACTCAAAAATTTGTGAACACTTCGAGCATTTGTTTTTCGTGTAAACCAAGATACATTGCTTAATATGTTGAAGGGTGGCATACTTCGCGTGGCTGGAATAGTCACAATTACAACAGCTATACTAAAAAAAACCATCTAGATTATACTATGTAACTTCAAAGTTATGAATTCAGTTTAAAATTAAATAAATACCTTCGTCAATCCGGGTGCCATAACTTCAGTCTCCATTAAATGCTTCCATCTACTTTCCAAAAGTTTATGTTCCAGCTTTACAGATTCAAATGCTTGCATTCTAGAACAAACGACCTGGTGCCGCTTAAGACTGAAAGGACTCGCCAAATGCTTGCCACAAAACGAGCAAACACATTTTTGAGTTCCTGTTTCTTGAGATATATGATTCCATCTATCTTCAAGAAGGTCATGTTGGAACTTGACAGAGTCAAACCCTTCCTTTTTGAAACAAAGAACCTGATGCCGCTTAAGACTAAAAGGACTTGCCAAATGCTTGCCACAAAATGTGCAAACACATTCTTGCGATCCTGATGTTTTGCAGTGTTTACTGTGGTATGTCAAATGTTTCCGCTTCGTGAACAGCTGGCCACATGCATCACAATTAAACTAAAAAGAATTTTGGTTTATCTTGAACCATTAACGAAATAAATGGAAAATATATCAGAAATGTTTGAAAGACGAACTTACTTTTACCAACCCGTCTTTGGTCACTACCTTTTCACCGGGAATTTCTATGAACTTGGCGCGCTCATTAAGAGCAGAACGTTGCTCGGCCAGTAACCTCCACCAGCATCTTTTAATTTCGGTGAAGTTCGACACACCTTTTGACTTCTAAAACAAACTCGGCTAATTAGGACAAGATGAGCCAGCTTTATATTTTCAAACTAAATTTGAAAACTATTAACCATTCCCTTGACAAAAATATGCCATCCCGTTATTTCCTGCTTTCCGGAATTTCTACTCATTTCTAAACTGAAATCAAGAAAGTCGATGATATAGGAACTCATGAAAGAAACGTTATTAAAACAGCACGGAAGCGAAGCTTCGCACTATCTGCGATACAAGTATACATAGCATGAAAAATTAACCGAGATGAAAACTGTACATAAAAAAAATGCTAAGAACACATTGCGCTACAAAATAAAGAATGCAAAAAAAATTACTTGAACAAAATAACTTCATAAAAGTTGAAAAATTTCAATTACAAAAAAGTTCATATTTGTATCAGATGATGTTCACAAATAGCCCTTACAAATGACTAGCGTTTAACGCACCTCAGGTGCTTCGAAATTTTTCGACAACTCATGAAAAACCGCATATATTGGAAACAACATCTGCAAACTTTTAGTGTACTCTGACTGCACCCAATTACAGGGTTGGTAATTTCGAACTTTTTAATTATTTTCTAATTCCCGTTTTAAAAGCGTCATCTCGAAAACTTAATGGGCCTCTGGATAAATTTGGAGGCCAGATTTGCAACCACTGAGAGTCCCTGAGAGCACCCTACTATAGGGTTAGGAATTCAAAATTTTGTGAATTTTTTTAAACCTAAGTTTCCCGAAAAAAAAATTGGAAAAAAAACGTCTAATCTCGGAAACTAAAACGACTTGAGCATCCATATTAAGAGGCAAAATTTGAGACGCAAGGGTGTACGCTGACAATAAGGTTCCATCTTCATCGAGTTGGTAGTTTCAAATTTTTTGAATTTCTTTAGATAAATTCTTTGAGAAATTTTGAAAAAATCAAAAAAACGTCAAATCTCGGAAACTAAAAGCATTTGAGCAGTCGCGTTTAGCAGTCGCATGTGGCAAGATTTGCAACTCTTTAGAGTGCCCTGACAACACCGAACTATAGCGTTGGGGATTCAAATTTTGAAAAAAAATTAATTCAAACTTTCAAACGTCACATCTCAAAATTTACAAAGAATTGAGCAGTCATATTTGGAGGCAAGATTCGCAATTCTTGAGACTACTCTGACAGGACCTAACTACAGGGTTTAGAATTTCAAATTTTTAAAAAATAATAATAATTTAAGTTTTCTGAAATTTTTTGAAAAAAATCACAAAAACGTCATATCTCGAAAACTACAAAGAATTGAACAGTCATACTTGGAGGCAAGATGCGCAATCTTTGAGATTACTCTGACAGGACCTAACTACAGGATTGGGAACTTCAAGTTTCATAAATTATTTTGTTATTTGAAACTTCTGAAAAATTTTGAAAAAATCTCAAAAATCGTCTTATCGTTTACCTAATTGTTGTGATAAACTTATTAAATAGTTTCCAGATGAAAAGCGTTTGACCACCCCCAAACGAGCAACACATGGGGCGACCGTGCAAGGATCCCTGCGCACGATGCAAGAAGGGCGTGTCCAACAGTGTATTCGATACAATGCGCCGATTGCCTTCTCTGGGTCCACCAAAATGCGCCAAGATGACAGTTGTGGATATCGCAAGCTGGTCTGGACACCCCTGGCACTGTGGATGCGTTGTGCATAGTATCCAATACGCGACAGCACAAACGGTGCGACTGATGAAGGCGATGTGAAGGTGCGACTGATGAAGGCGACTGATGAAGGCGACTGATGAAGGCAGTACTCTGGGAGGGTCGGTCAGCGGCTCGGCCCTCGTTGAGAGGGTTGTTGGGTCCTGTCCCTTCTCATATGAGTACTTCAGCATTGGGGGAGGGCGGTCGTGAGTGATGCTGGCGATCCCAGCAGCTCTCGGCCGCTCGGTGACGACTTGGGCGAGGAGACAGCGCCGAGGAGATAGCCGAAAATCGGAAGGGTCGGGAAGAGACCGCGACGACCCTCTTACAAGCGATGGCGGACCTCCGACTATCCGAAGATGATGCAGAAATCGGATCTTATTTGTCTGGTGCTCAGGATATGTTACAGAAATACCTTTCCAATAAACCACGCATCCTCAAGTGCGTCCCGAAGTCTAGTCGAAGACAGTTCCGAGATATTCTCAGCAAAACTCTCGCCGATGTTGTTAACAATCCTAGTAATGAAGATTTATGGATGCAGCTGTTTACGCTTCCGAGTCATTGTTTACGTCAGCCAGACAGAGGTGGGACTGGCAGAAGAAAGTCACTGGCTCAGATAGTAAACAAGCAGATAGACGGTTTCTCAAAATTGCGCGAGTTTACCATCCAAACAGCCAAGAAACAGAAGAAACCTAACAAAGCGTCCGTAAGCGTGAAACTGGCCAGAGCAGTATGCTCGAAGATCGACGAAGGCGACATTAGAGGCTCCGTGCGCCTTCTGACATCTGATTGCGGAATAGCTCACAACGACGACACTACACTTGAGATTTTTACAAAAGCAACTACCTGAACCGCCTGACAGGCGCCCTTTCCCAAATTCAAACTGCGATCATTTGTCTCTTACCGTCGACGACATACCGAGAGGAGTGATGTCCTTCCAGCCCGGGTCATCTGCTGGAACACCTGGGCTGAGGCCACAGCACTTGAAGGACTGCTTGGGTAACAGGTGAAGATAACGACCAGTTTCTCCGTGCTCTGACAGCATTCTGCAACTTTCTTCTTGTTATTGATATTCCCCGAGATATCAAGCCAATCATTGCTGGTGCGAATTTATGCGCGTTAGCGAAGAAAGACGGTGGAATCCGGCCGATCGCATCAGGATATGTCCTCCGGAGATTGACCGCAAAATGTGCAGCTAAAATTGCCGCAAAACGACATTCAGATCTGTTCCTTCCACACCAGTTGGGTTGCAGAGTTATGGGCGGAGCTGAAGTCGCTGCACATGCACTGCGGAACTATGTCGAAAATACCACTGATGGCACTGTACTACTATAACTCGATTTTAAGAATGCTTTCAACTCTATACGGAGAGATGTTGTAGCTGAGAAACTACAAGAACATATGCCGGAACTGAGTAACTTTTTCTATCTTTGTTATAGCGAGACGACTTGTCTTTCATTTGGTGATTTTCTTATCGACTCATCTGAAGGTCTTTCTTATCGATATTCTGAAAGTAATTATATCATTGTTCAAATCTGGCTACGTGGATGACATAAGTGTCGGTGATATCGTGCGGCAGAATGTCCTCATAGACCTTGAGACCGTGATAGCAGAAGGTGTCAAGATCGGACTGGATCTGAATCTGAAAAACAAGTCTGAGGATATTGTATTTTGCGATGATGCCAGAGAAAAGAATTCAATCATTCAGTCCTTCTTAGCAGTTTTTCCCCACATGACCATCATTTAACCTACGGACTTGGTTCTCCTAGGTGCCCCGATTGGCGAAAAGGCACAAGAAACTGTTGTTCAAGATAAACTCAACGAACTCCGTTGTATGTGCATTCGACTGCAATCGCTTCCGTCACATGTTGCTTTCTTCCTACTTAAGAATTGTTTCTACATTCCAAAACTGATGTACATACTGCGAACATCAACATTATTCCTGAAAAAAGACGCCCTTCACCGTTTCGACGAGAGTATCCGGAAAACACTACAGTTGATCTTCAACGTCGAGGTTGACGATCCACGATGGGAGATTTTGACGTTGCCATGCAAACTGGGTGGAATGGGTATTGTTCAGGTCTCGAAACTGGCTATTGCTGCGTATGCGTTATCCATATTTAGCACTCTAAATATCTGTAATAACATCTATGCCAATGAAGCAAGAACTGAATCTCTAATAGGATCTGTAGTAAAACACTGGCGAAGTACTATAAACAGTGATGAACCTCTACCAGAGCGCAAACTCGAACAGAACGAATGGTCACACCCAATGATACATCAACAAGCTGAGTCGCTTAAAGAATCAGGACACGAGCCCGCTTGAACGGCTTGGTGTGCCCCGAAGCTGCTGAATGGCTCAACGCCCTTCCCTCGAGAACACTAGCACTCCCGCTCACAGATGATGAATTCGGAATTGCCATAAGTTATCGTCTTGGCGCACCGGTCTGTACCCCACACACAAGTGCTCTTGTGGCGATATAGTCGATGCCTATGGTAAGCATGCATTAGTTTGCAAGAAGAGCAGATCTGTTCATGCGAGCCATTCGATGGGCAATCATATTATTCATAGGGCATTTATTCAAGCCAACGTCCCGTCGATCATCGAGCCCCAGGGATTACTCCAGTCTGACCGTAAGAGACCAAATGAACTCACACTGGTTCCATGGACGCACGGAAGAGCATTGGCTTGGGACTTCACCTGCGTACATAGACTGGCATGCTCGTACATCCAGCTCGCGAGTCGAGAAGGACCCACTGGCAGATGCAGCGGAATCACGAAAACGCGCCAAATACGAAGAGATATCAGCAACACACATCTTCCAACCCATTGCGATTGAAACTCTCGGAGGTCTGGGTACTGATACACTGCGCTTTATAACAAGCCTTGGTAAACGAGTGACGCAAGCTACTGGCGACGACAGAGCGACAATTTTCTTGCGGCAGGGACTTGGCATTGCTGTACAGCGTGGAACAGCCGCTGTGTGCTTGAAACTCTTGCTGTTGAAGTTGACGACTCGGTTGGTGCCGACTTTCGGCGATAACCAAGATTGAATCTTGACTGTTTTTTATATAGCATTTAAAAAGATTTTTTTTAAACATAAATTTGGTGCTACTCTTGAAACGTTCCTCGGACTTGTTCCATATTGTTTTTTAAATGTGTCTGAATTCACATTATTCTCCGTTAACTAAAATGATTCGAGCATTCAAAATTGGAGGCCAAATTCGCAATCCCTAATTCGATACTGGACTGCTTAATTTAGACTCGGTAAAATAACCGTTAAAATCAAATTGGAAAATCGAAAAAATTCTTAACCATTGCAATATACGGTATAGCTTGAACATGCAAAAATAATGCGTTGAAAAAGCTTAAACATGGCGAGATAAAGAAGCCCGCATTTAAATATACAATAAATGATCATTTACCGTGCGGCAACAAAGGCGACAAATTTAAGGTCGAAACCTGTTAAGCCGAAAAAAAAACTG